TTATAGACAAGTATACCTTTCACCACTCATCAAAGAACTTTTTTTATTTTTTCAACAGATGGAGACTATCATAAAGTTCCACAAATGGTCAAGCACAGAGAATATAAGTGTTTGAGGTTTTGTCCTGGGTCAGGCACTGTGCTAATTAGTAGTATGTAAATTGTGATTATTGATTACACTCAAACTTAGAAAAACTCAGGTCCAGAGAGATGGCTCATCAGGTAAAAGCGTTTGCCATGCAGGCCTGAGTTCTAGCCTCAGAATCCACATTAAAAAGCCAGATGCAAAGATTAGCTCTCATAGTAGCAGAAGGTGCTATGCAAACTGCCTGTGGAGTAAACCAATCACTGATTCCATCCAGATGTAAAAAAAACAACAGAACAACAACAACAAACCAAACCAAACCCAATCCTCTCTCTCCTAGTAGCTATCAGTTGGCAATAAATAGTTCTCGCTAAGATTGGGGCTTCTTCCCCACTTCCCCACTTCTATGCTGTGATTTTGTCTGGCTTGAGCTTGCATGAGTCTTGTGCATGCTGTCACCATTGCTGTGAGTTCATATGAGTAACTTCCTAGCTGTCTCAAAGACTCTGCTTCCTTGTGGTCATCCACCATTTCTGGCTTACAATCTTTCAGCACCCTTTTTCACAATGGTCCCTGAGCCTTGGGCGGCAGAGGTTTGATATACGTGTCCTATTTAGGAATAAGCACTCTGCAGTCTCTCATTCTCTGCACTTCAGCCAGTTGTGGTTTCTGGGTTCACCATCTGTTGCATGGGGAAGCATCACTGGTGAGAACCCGAGAGATGCATTAATATTCTTTTTGCCTCCTGTTCTGCTATGTTCGCTCAGCTTTAGTTGTAGAGGTTGCATTGTCTATGTGTCAGTTAGGGCTGGGCATCTCACAGACACTTATTCTGTGTTTGACCAATTGTGAAACTTTGTAATGGTCTCCATCTGTTGCAAAAAGAAGTTTCTTTGATGAGTGGTGAGAGGCACACTTATTTGTAAATACAAGTAAATACATTTAGAATACAGTAAGAAATTACATTGGTCCATGGATGTGACAAAAGTAGGTTTTGCTCCAGGATCTATGACCTCTCCAGCCATGTACATTTGGCTATGTTTATAGTACCACCACATGATTTCCCTCATATTGAGTGAGTTTTAAGTCCAATTAGACAGCTGTTGATTACCCCCAAGATTAAAGTACAACTACTATACCAGTAGAGATTATTTGCTGGGCCAGTCATCATTGTGGTTCAGAGACTACAGATGAATGGGATCACTGATTGTTTCCTCCCTTGGCAGTTGACATAGTATCTTGTGGTACTATGAGAGCTAGTCTTTGCATCTGCTTTTTAGTGTGGGTTCTAGGATAGAACTCAGGTCATCGGCCTTGCATGGCAAGTGCTTTTGCTTGATGAGCCATCTCTCCAGGCCTGGATTTTTCTATGTTTAAGTGGACTCAACAGTTTACATACTACTTATTAGGACAGTGCCTGACATAGGGCAAAAGCTAAAATAATGATAGTTATTTGGTACTATTTTCCAAGTCTCATTAAACAAATAAGTATGGTTTGTTCATAATGGTAGACCTCAAGTAATGTTTGATCAGCTTTTTACTTTGCCAGGTATTTTGAGTGACTATTAAAATTAGCCGTATTTTGTAAATTTAGAAACTGAACAATTATTTCTAAACTTAAATCTTGGAGTTCAATTCTTATGCACATTGTGGAAAGAAAAGAAAGTGGGAATATAAATAAATGTTAAATGGGACGTCTTGCCTTGGCTCACCCTGTAAGTTCCGGGTTGTTTTTCAGTTCAGTGACATGACAAGGATGGGTGATGGGTGAGCAAAGGGACAGCCTTGGCAAGTAATGGCAGGCATGGCGGGCGGCTTGAGTTCCTTGTGGTGCTACTTCCTTAGGAGTGGTTTCAGAAGAAAACAAGAAACCAACAATGGCCCAAACCATCACAATGCTTAGCTTTTATCCAGTAGCTGTTTAAGCAGCTCAATGCTTTGTGGGTTTAAGATCATTTGCTTTCTAGTCAGCCATCTTCAAACTGGCCTTTATTGTCCTCTAGTCTAGGATTAGAACTACCGCTGTCCTATTAACAAACCACAATGCAACTGAAGAGTCTCAATTAAGAAGGATGGGTTAAGGATTCACGCTTCATGTACAACTGCTTAACTCAGGAGTTTCTCCTTGCTCCTTCAACAGAGGAGGTGGCATGGAACCTGGAACAGGCAACATGACCAACCCACATCAATCATGAGGACTGTCATGATTGAGTCAGACCAACTGTAACTTATTGCTAAGGACTGGGGACCCAAAACACAAGTGAACATTACATAATATACATTTCTGGATGCTTCTGGTAACAGCCATTGTCTGAAGAGAAGCTCATTTATACATGCATAGAAGTATCCAGGTCTGTCTGATCACAGCAATAATATATGAGAAAATCGTTTGCAAACTGCACATGCTCATGAAGATGAACAATCACTTCTCTGTTGAGATCTTACCTGTGTCTGCTACAGCTCAGGTTATGGCAACACTGGGATGTGCACTACAGTGAAAGCAGCATGAGGCTGGAGGAAGCTGGGCAGTGTTCAGACCCAAACCCACCACTCATTCGACTGTGGAATAGGTACTGAAACCCTGTGGGATAGTTAGTGCTAAGTGTCAACTTACCAGGATCTAGAGTCATGTGGGAAAAGGGCCTTTGGGCATGCCTGTGGAGGATTATCTTGATTAGGTTGACAGATGTGGGAAGACTCACTTATTTGTGGGCAGGGCTGTTGCTGGTCTGTATGAAGTGGAGAAAGTGAGCTGAGCACTAGCTTGAACACACTGGTCTCTGCTTCCTGAATGTGGATGTGACTGGCCATGTCAAACTCCTGCTGCCTTGACTTCCCTGCCCTGATGGACTGTGTTCTGGACAGTGAACCAGAATAAACTCTTTTTTTTTTCCCTCAAGTTGCTTTTGTCAGGCTATTCTACAAGAAAAGAAACCAAAACACCCTATTCCTCAGTTTTCTCAATCGTGAAGTATGAAGACAGCCTCTCCCACATAACACGACATGAGATTGTGATGACTGTATATGAACCATACAGGCCTTCCATGATGAATACAACTTAGTGATTGTGCTAGCTTATGAGTGTAAGATAGCTATCAGGTAAAGTATCTTCTGACTTCCAGTTTAATTGTTCAAGTCTTTAGACTTGAAAAGAAGGGTGAAGACAGAAGGGCACTGAATCAACTAGGGGGTACGTCCTTCAAATTGTCATCAAGTCTCATATCCATTGATTTAAAAAATAAAAGACGGTTTGCTTCCTACTGGGAATTACTTAGTAAATTCCTGATGTGTTAGTGGAATACAATGGAGTTTTTTTAAATAATAAAGCTTACAGTAGAAACTACTTGTTGTGATTAATGAGTTTTCTATCTAGGGTGATAAAGAATACTGACCTATTTTTAAACTGTAAGAAAGGGCAGAAAGAGGGTAAGAGCCAGAGGTGGTGGATGACCACAAGGAAACAGAGTTTTTTAGTCAGCTGGCCAGCTACTTATATGAACTCAGAGCAATGGTGATAGTATGCACAAGTTCCATGAAAGCCTAAACCAGACAAAATACCAGCATAGTCATGGGGAAGTGGATAAGAAACCCCATCCAAACTAAGCAACTACTGGCAATCACAGCTGCTGGGATGGGGAGAGACAGATGTAACTCTTAAAGGTTAACCAGGCTCCAGTGGAGGGACCCACACTGAAGGACATTTGGGGATACAAATTAAGACTCGACAGGCCTTCTCATATATATAATAGAGAATATTAAATTGGGCAGGGGCACTAAGGGAGGTATGGATGAGGTGGGTATCTAAATACCCTCAAATTATACTGTATGAAAATCATGAAATTTTAATAAATTAAAAAAACCCTCTGTGATGTGATAGCAATCATTATCAAACAGCACCTTAGGACTGAGTGCTTCTAGCCCAGGCTTTGTTCTAAGTACTTCACATGGATTCTGTCACTTCATGCCCACAGCAATCCCATGGATGTTTGCTATTACTGTCCAAATTTTTCTGATAAGAAAAGTATGACTAGAGATGTTCAATGTTTTTCTCCAAAGCCTCTAACAGTCCAAACCATAAACCAAACTCAGTAATTTTGAATTCAGGGATGGGGATATAATTCAGTGGTAGAGTCATACACTTAACATGTACAAGGCCCAGAGTCTGACACTCAGCACCACAAAAATCAATCAATACTGGCTTCAGCTGCCTAGCTCTGAACTGCTAGATCATATAGTCTCTGTGGAAGTGGGGCTAGGGCTAACTGTCTCAACTTCTGCAGCAAGGCCAATATTACTTATAGTTGCTCCTTAAAAGCAGGAGACAGTTTTTTTTCTTGTAGAATGAGCACAGCTGAACAAGTTTACTTTTGCATAACTGGATCAAGAAAAGGATGCAGCACTCTGATTCCCAGCATACTGGCCTGGATCGCCCATCCCACTGTATTTCTGTACATCTTTAAACCACTATACTTACAGACCAAGACTAGAAAATTCCATCTGTCCAATAACCTTGATGAAAGGATTATTTGAAAAAAAAATCCATTTTAGACATGAAAAGATAAAATAAATTATATCACAGTAAAGGAAGGAATGTATCCTACATGGGAAAAAAGGGGTCAGAACAATATAGAAGTATTCAAATAAAAACAAAAACAAACAAACAAACAAAAAACCCCAAATCTTCATGGGGCTGGAGAAAAGGCTCAGCAGTTAAGAGCACTGTTTCCTCTGGCAGAGGACCTGTGTTCAAATCTCAGCACCCACATGGCCACTAACAACTATCCGAAACTCCAATTCCAGGGGATCCAATGCCTCTTCTGCCCTGTATGGGCACTGCATGACATGGGTGCACATACATACACGCAAGCATAACCCACATACACATAAAAGTAAATTAAAACATCTTCAAGAAGAGCTGGTATTTGAAGATACTTTATTAAGATAAAAAGTTTTTCATTACATATATCTATAAATCCGTCCTAGTTCAAAAGAAAATAAATAAAAACGTGTATCTTTAGGAGCATTTTGACCAGAGTTTTGTAAATCTGAGTTTACATGTTTGTCCATTTAAAGTTACTGCAATTTAGATACATCAATGATTATACATTACCAGGAATGCCAGCCTTATTGAGACTAAGAGTTTCCATGTTGCTCAGTAAAACTATGGTTAAAAACAATTATTTCAATTTTATGTATTCACTTCCAAACAACTCTAACTGGGAGGCAAAACAGGACAGAATTTTCTATGAGGTCTTAGATTTTAAATATACAGATTTAAACATTCAAACGGTCCTTTTCTCTCAAACAGTGGCTGACACTTCATCTCAGGGTAGGCTGCTGAAAGTGAGCAGGAATGTGGGTGGGAGGGCCCAGGGCAAAGAGCACAGAGCCTCTTAGAGGCCTTCTGCCACAGTCATCAACACTTGACTAGCCTGACTTACTAGGTTTTAATGCAACCACATTGTAAGCATCAAGAAATACCACTTGAAAGGCTACTTGCAACCTGGTTTCTTAAACTGCCTTTAATTCCATTATTATTCTTCCATTATTTTGAAAAATGTTGATCGGCCCTGATCTAAAAAGATGCAGATAATTACATTTGTATAACAGATTTCTGGTACACTACATGAGTTCAACCCCCAAATAAAGAACGGAAGCAAGGATCTGCAGATGAAGAAAAATAACATACCAATGTCGATATTTTAAAGAACACGGGTTGCCTAAACTGCTAATGGAATTTCCTGTCTGTAGCATGCCCCATCATTCCTGGTACGGGAAGTTTCACTTCAGAGGAAACTTAGGCATCATCCAAGAAATGGAATATTCCACTCAAACCAACTCCTTAAGACTTGAGCATGTCCTGGAAGAGCCACACAAGCCTACGGTGTCAGAATGGGATTCAGTAGCCCTCTTGTCTGTTTAAGCTGAACGGTGTGCTGTTTAATTAACAAATTTAGAGCTTCCTTGGATCGCGTTCAGTAACATTCAGTGTGATCTAACTGCTTGGTGTGAATGAGGAACAAGGTCACTGGGGGAGTTTTTGTTTCTGCTTCTCACAGTAGCCGACATATAAGGAGGAAAGCAAGTGTCGAGCACTACTGAATGGGCAGTGACACACTTGTGATCTACCTGCTTTAAGGTCCAATATTTACATGGAATGTTGACTTTGATTTATAAAACAACTATTTTCAATTATAACATCTTTACATAGAATCAATTTATGAATAGCTTCATTTGCTAATTAAAAAAATATGACTTTCAAATATCTCATAAATATATAAAATTTAACTACATTCTTTTTTCTTTAAACATGACATTTAAACTCTTTACAAAGCAACAAAAATAAATTTTTGTGTGAAAGTCACAGAAGTGATGATGACTTCTGACCAGCTGAATTGTACTACCTCCAAGAACGGCAGGACAGTGTTCCCTGAACTGTGGACATCTGCAGCACTGTAACTATTCACTTGCTGGAGGTCAGCAGTATCAAACAAAAGGAGAGATGGCATCTAAGCATTAACACATCTGTCTTTAACAAGGTTGAGATGGACTCTGGCCAGTGCTAAGAATCATTTGGGAGATACAATATAAGAAGTTTTTGAAAACACACCTTAGCACAATATAAATGCACGGTAATTAATTGCACAAATGGGAAAAAAACATGCCATTTTCTTTAACTGCTGTAACACATAAAGCGAGTTAATTATTTTAGAATATTAATCTCATTTTTAGAATTTGTTGAGAACATCCCAAGGAAGAGGAAAAAAAACTTTCTGGGGGGACTCCAGAAATGTCCTCTGAAGATGGACAGATGGAAATCAATGTCCTTTGCATTCATTTCTCCCCTAAGACACCACCCTTCTTACTAATCCATGACGAAAGGTTTCCATCTACATTTATATCAATTTTAAGTCTATTTCTAAGCCTGGTGCAGAGCATGCATGCACCTGTACTTGGGAGGCTGAAGAAGGATGAGGTAAAGGCCAGTGTAGACAGTATAGTGAGACCCTTGACTCAAAGAGAAAAGCAGATTTTTCCCTGATAAAATATTTGTTGGGTCACTGACATGTACTTCTTAAGCTATGTGAGCACATCCTCAGGGAAAATTTTTAGTTGTCCCATTAAGTTTTAGAATGCACATACTGAGAACATACCTTGCATACAGGAACAAGGAGGACAGTGTCTTAGTGCCAGCTCAGTGAAGCCTGTGATGTTCCAGCTCAGACATGCTGGCCTGTGTCTGTGCAGTGGTTCCAGGCTGCTAAGTTCATGCATTCAGCTGTGAGCAGGTAAAGTGAGGCAGCAGGCCCACCAGAGCCCCACTGAGGCGTGGTCTCTGATCTACACTGCCACTCTTATCAGACAGAACTACAGAAAACCAGGAAATTGACAGTTTTACTCAGAATATACTACTGTGCAGATTTTGACTTTTAAATATTATAGTCAGTACTGTGCTTCAAATAAGGCAATAAAGGATAAACAAAACCAGCATTCAATTTTTATGAAGATTGTACATCTGTGACAGTGATATAGATAAAAAAACCCTACCAGCAAAATGGCAGCCGATCTAACCATGCAATCTATAGAATAGAGAATTATGGAAATTTTCCTTAGTTATGAATGTAACCAACTCACTGGGACCCAATGGGTATCAGTCTCTAATTTGTCAAATGTTGTTTTTAGCTCATTAAACGCCATAGTGAGATCATCATTTATTATAGTTTTGTCAAAAAGATGCCCATATTGACTTTCCATTATCTGTGCAGATTTAATCATTTCTTGAAAGTCTTCTTCCTAGAAAACAAAAGTATTAAAAAATTAAGCAATCAGGCAATTATATAATTTCACATCACTGTAAACATTCTACAAGTTTCCCTGTTCTGTGTTCAGACTTCATCCTGAGGAAGAAACAAAACTTACCTTCCTTAGTGCGATAGCTGTCAACTTGAAACACCTGGGTAAAGGGAACCTCAAGTGAGGGACTGCCTCCATTAGATTGGCCTGTGGCCATGTCTGTGAGGTATCCCTTAATTGCTAACTGATATAGAAAGCCCAGCCCACTGTGGTCAGTACCATCCCTAGGCAGGTAGACCTGGGCCATATAAAGAAGGTAACAGCAAGCCAGGGAGAGAGCAAATCAGTAAGTGGTTTTCTTCCATGGTCTCTGCTTCAGCTCCTGCCTTAGCTTTCCACAATGGACTGTAACTTGTAAGATGAAATAAACCCTCTCCTCCCCATGTTGGGTCTGGTTAGTGTTTTATTATAGCAGCAGAAAGCAAGCTAGGACACTTAGTAACTACCTTTTCAGAAACCATGACTTCTAACATCAGCTGTCTGATTTGCTTGTAACTGAGCTCCTTTGAGAAGAGTCAAAACTCTTACTGACACTAAATTTCAGGATAATTAGTTACTATCTCACCATTCCATGAATATATGGCTGCTTGTTCACAGAAGCAATTTATAACACAAATTACTTTCTCAAAGTTGAATGCAGTATGAAACAAAGCTCTATTATTCCTTCTATGGCCCAGAAAAGTGTTTCAAGAGCCTTCTAGGACACATTTAAGATGCCACAAGCTGTGTTAGCTAGGTATAAAACTCAGGACTAAAGAAATGTAAGCCACATCCTCAGAAATGCGATCATTTATTATGTTTACTGAGACACTGAAACTTACATAGTATAGTAACTTCACATCTCAACAGTGTGAAATACTTTCAGAGTTCACATTTCAATGTCACATATGATTTCACAACAGAAAACATGATTAATTACTTTTTTCTTAAACTTTACTATTATCCTCTGTGTGTATGATATTTGAGTACAGATGCAACATGTGCCATGCTGTACACGTGGAGGTCAAAGGAAAACTCTGTGGGGTGGGTTCTCTTTGTCTATCTTTGTATGAATTCCAGGGGACAAACTCAGTTTGCAAAGTAAGCACTTTACCTCCTCAGGCACCTCATCAGTCCAGAACATTTAACGTTAGTGTTAGTGAACAGCTTTGAATAACTGATACTGTAGGATAGCACCTGTTCTTCAAGGATAAATGTCACCATTTTAGAAAAAAAGATCAAACACTGGGAATCAAAAACAAGACCTGTATTTTATAACTATAATTAACAGTTCAAAGACAGACTAAAGTTAAAGAGGAGCTAATTAACAGAAGGAAAAAGGAAAGCTCTTAGTATTTAATTTGTTTGTTTTGATTCAAAGATAGAATACATTAACTTGATAAAAATTAAAACAAAAACAATGATGGGCATTGCCAGGAGCCAATGTAGCCACAAACATCCCACAGCCAGGATATCCATTAACACCTACTGGAAACATGAATATCACTGGTGAGCAGTATTAGCCTCCTAGTTTATGACCCAAATAGTGTCTTTTCTTTTTACTGTGCTAAAATATAATCACTGACATGAGGTGACAAAGCAATGTGATGTACTTTTTATTTAGACTGTCAATAACAGGTAGAAACTGACTGGGGACTTTAAACTTTAAAAATAAGGTTAATCAAAAAAAGTGATCTTTTATGCAAACGTTTGGCTTGGAAAAATCCAACATGAATATATAACAGCATACTTTTATTATTTTTTCGTTGTTTCATTGGTGGTGCTGCAGGTTAAACCTGTCTCATACATGCTAGGCAATCCCTAAAACAGTGTGGCTAACACTACTGTAGTGGTTGCTAGTTTGAGATACATAGTCTTGCTATGTAGCCCAGACTGGCCTCAAATCTGCCATGCAGAAGGGGCTAGCCTCTAACAACTCTTCTGCCTCCATCTCTGGAGTACTGGGGATTATAGGTATGCCCTACACCACACCCAGCTCTACAAAATAGTTCTGAGTTAATTTAACATGAATAATGAGTAACAGAAACACAAAAAGAAATTACAGTGCAATTGTTCAAAATGCAACCCTAATCTTTTGAGAGCTCTGGATTACAACCTCATCTGTAACAGTGTTGCTAAGCGGCTGTGCATAAGCATTCAGGTGCTGTCTACTAAGATGGCCAAGAATCATGACACCCACCGTGAAAGGCTTGGCGGTCCCCTGGTCGTCTCTGCTTGAAATAATCTTTGCATTTTTTCTTGTCTCTCTCAAACGCTCTATGGATGGAGGTTTTATAAATATCACATAAGGCTTGAATTCTAGTGTTCTTAAATGCTTCACTGTCTATAAGGAAGAAAAGAAATTTTCTCATTATTTCTTCATAATCTCATGAATTACTAGATTTTCTAAGGAGAAAAATTTCTTAAAACTATTCTCTAACTGAGGTCAATAGGACTTTCAATATATTATTCAATCAGTTCTTGACAATTAAGGGTCCCCCCAAAGAAGCTTGAGAATGCAAACTGCATTTAAAACATTTTGAAGTACATCATCCATAACACAGAAAACAGTGGTAAAAAGAAAGGAAACTGGGTTCTAGATCAAATTTCCATAAGATGTGATGAGAACTCCCTGTCTGTAAGCTGTCCTGTCTCTTTAACTTCCCATCTGGATAGAGGAGAACCCTAGAAGGGTGCCCTGTCCTCCATGAAGTCGCCAGCATTCCCTCATCAAGTATCCTGCTCTGTTTTGAGATAAAGTCTTCCTGTGTAGCTCAGGCCTGCCTGGAATCCATAATCCTCTTGCCTCAGCCTCCTGAGTGCTAAGATTATAGGTATGAACCAACAATCTCAGTTCAATTGTCCAGCTCTAAGGACTCATCTGTAGTCGGGGTGATTGACAGATGGATCAGAACTGAGGGACATTCTTGATCTGTCTGTGAGAACTTCTTCAGAATCTGAATATCTCACATTTCTTACGCTGAGGTTAGGGAGATGGGAGGCCTATGGTCATGACACACAGAGAGAAAGTGGCGGTAAGGAGAGGGCCTGGGATAGAGGGGTGGAGAAGACACTGGGAATGCAGGCAAAATGTACTCAGCGAGTCTGGGGGTGACAAGGCACAGTGTATGGGCAGAGCTCTCAGAACAAGCAGGAGTACCCTACTCCCTGCTGGTGGTTGGGCAGGAGGCAGCCTCCAAGCTGATGCCCAGGTCTCTGACTTCAGCTTCTCCACCCCTAAGAGATGAGAAGGTCCTTCTGGCATTTGGAGGCTAAGGCCTCTAGCGTACCACCAGCATTAGCGGGAGATGATGGCCCCCAGAGGACTAGAGCAAAGTGTAGGTATCAATCAGAGAGTGCCATCATCATTAGGAGAATCTGCGGCCTCCAGAGGACAAGGGGGTTGGGTATCAGTCAGAGGACAAGGGGTCTGACAAGGAATTGAATGGTTTTATTCAGCAGCCTTCTTAGTTCGGAGCGTCCCTAAGAGTCCTCAGGGTGATAGGTAGTCTCGCTACGGCATCTCAGCCAGTACAAATCCTGAGCAGTGCCTCACCACTCTGCTGGGCTTTGCACTTCTATGGAGTGTACAAAACCAAATCAGAGGGAGGACAGAGATCCCAAATTTCCGTTGTCAAATTATAAACACTGAGAAGAATGCACAACCCAAACCACATCATGTATGCAGTAGTATAATATATTGTTTAAAAGACACTAAATACACAAACATCTGAGAGCCACTGTCTGATCTTGACTGACTGAAAACACTGACCTTGGGGCTTCCTCCTCCCTTCCTTGCTAGTAACACTGTGCTGCCTTTTACCCCCTCACCAAAAATGTCTCAACCTACATTTAAATGAGCAGATTCCAGATGAACTTCATACTGAGAGCCCACAAGGGAACTGAATCAAGGCCTTGATACTTACATGAGGTTGAACATCCAACAAACAAACTTTGTTCTTAGCTAGGACAGACCGAACAGAGTCTATACTTGTGCCATAGTAGTTGTTTTTATATTCACCATATTCAATGAACCTGGAGAAAATTAGACATCAGAACTGCTTGTGAATTTTTAAAAAAGCAGGTGACAAGCTATAACTCATAGATGGAAGATATTTTTGCTGAACATGTAACTTTTTTTTGCTGTTTTTAATAAACAAAACCAAGTACTTCAGCAAACGTCAATTTTAAAAATTCTTCTACATTTTCAAATCAGTAACACTTGCTTGTATTACACTTAAGCCAAGAAAAGTACTTTGGTTCAGCAGAGCGCTAATGTTTTCCATTACCCCCCTTTCAGAACTAACGCAATGCAATAAAACAGTGAATAAGCCAACAATAGAAACTACTGGAATTTCACTGTGCACTAGAGTCACCAAGCTGGGCTCCAGAGCTACAGGAGCTGGGAGGTGGCTAATGGAACCAGGGCAGCGATTACGTGCTATAAAAACACAGTCATCATGCCAAACATGAAGAAAGCATTTTGATGTTTCAATAAAATCCCACAATGCTGCATTCAGACACACATTGCTTCTGATGCCCTCAAGCAGCCACACCTAAGCAAATGGAAAACCTGGCGGAGGGGGACCTAGCTGGAGGAGTGGGCACGTGCAAGGTGGCCGGACTTTATTCCAAGGCTTTGAAGTGCCAATGTGAGAAGAAAAGTGAAAAAACTATGGAGCAATATATCATCTAGTTCTCCATTAATTTTAAAATAAAATCTACCCAAGTTACATGTTGAGATTCAATTAGTGGGCTGGAAAAAAGTCACAGTAAGACACTAGAAGCTTCCCCCACACTGCAAAATAATTCCACCTGTTCAACTTAACAGGTATGTAGCAGCTCTAGGTTATTAAAAAAAATAGAAGTGAACACTGGTGATAATCACCAACTGAATGATCACTTTTTATAAGTTTCCAATATTACTCTAATAATTCAAATGCATTTCCAATGCTGTCTGAAACTGGATATTTAGGCACGAGCTTAAGAACCACACTCATAAAAATTCTACAAAATTTTCACATACTTGTTATTTTGTACATCTGTCTCAAACAAATGCTTGGAAATAAAAATATATTCCACGCCATCACTCTCCTGGCTTCTTTTTGCTCTGGTGGTGTCTGTGATTTGGCATATAAAAGAGTTTAGAAAAGTCTGCATCATTACCTTAAAGAAAGTGTTAAAAAGAAATCAAGCATATTTAAAATCAATTTCTTAACACAGGATTTAAAAACATATTTTTAAAATTAGTTGCTAAAATATAGTAAAGTATCATAAATTCAGATATTTCCACTGACATTAAAATCTGAACAGAGACTGGAGACTTCATTGCATCGTCTGTCTGCTCCATTACTCACTCTTTGGAAGACTCTTTAATGTAAGTAAATAAATAAAAAGCAGTATGTGAAAAAGAGTTTAAACCTTAGGAACAAAGACAACTATCTGAGCACTTTGAAAATACAAAAACAGAAGGTTCTGGAAGGGAGAGAACCTGCACAGGGAATGAGTTTCACTTTACTTTTTCTCTCAGAAGCCATGACACAGTAGTGATAGAGGCAGGAGCTAGCTTTCTGTAAGTAGTAAAAGAAGATATGATGGAATTGACCACAAATGTTATGGTGAACACAGATATTGGGGTTAAAAGGAATGTTAGGTAAAAGGAGTGAAATAGGGACACCAAGGGAGAGAAATTCAGAGGTCCTGCAGCTGCTGTCAGAGAGCCAAGCTAACCAGATAAGGGAAAAGTCAGGAGCTCTGGGAAGCAAGGCCATTGTTGGCAGGCCAGCTGGCTGACTCCCATGAAGCCCAGGAATGTGTTCAAGGCTGCCCTTCCACACACACATTCTTAATTCTAATGAAGCTAAATGTAACAGACTAACCTGGAGAAAGGGGTTTCTACCTATTCTAGAAAGAAGACTACCCGAGAGCACCCCACAGATAAGAAGCTAGATACATGGTTATCAGGAAAGACTGCAGCTACCTCTTGCTGGCTCCCTGTCACAGTAAATCCACAAGCTGGCCACCACCCAATTGTGAGTGTAAAGAATGCAGTTTGATTAGCAGCCAGTAAGATACCTGCAAGGTTGACAGTGGAAACTCAGGCCAGCACTAAGACAGTCAAGATCAGCAGCTTACACAGCAGAAGTCAGAGAGGAGCAGAGGGGGCTCCAGCTACCCATAACTTGGTGAACCACATGACAGAACTCTGGCTGGGTCAGAAGGGCATGCACAGAGTATGTGGCCTTCCACTAGCTCAGATTCAATCTGCTCAGAGAATTAACCAGTCTCCTCAGTCTTTGTCCAGCTCATGCCATAAGCCCTACAAAAAGCCCCTTAACAAGCTGTCTGATGGTTTTCCTCTTTTCCCCTTGGACTCTCAGGAGTTTCTCCTACTTTTCTTTAATTCTTCTAAATAAAGCCTGTTTCTTCTTTGCTTACTTCCATTTGTCCTTGTCTTTAGTCTTCACCTGTGTGAGACAACAAACTTGGGAGCCATTGTCTCTGCTTGACTTTAGTGACCCCTGAGTTTCCAGTGTCCTATAAGACCCTGGGCAAGCACACCTGCCTAGAAAAGTCCTATGGCTCTAAAAAATAACCCTGCCTGAGTTAGAAGAACAGGGGGTATGGGTTTGAAGAGCGTGGAGAGAATCTAGAAGGTGAGAAAGCACAGAAGGAAATACTTTAATTCTATGTAGACACCAACATTTATCTAAGAATAACTTCTGCCCTCATATATACAGTTCCAATTCAATCCAGCATAGGTGACTTCATTTAAGAAGTGAACAAGATTAAAATACACAAGCCTTAGTCTAACCCCTGAAAAATGGGGTTGTGTGCATCCCACAGAACACATAAACATCTACCAAGCAGGAAAGGCTTGGAGAAATGAAATGAGATTTGTACCATGCACATAACCTTTAGATTCATCCTTGAACCAGGACAGACCCAAACCATACCACAGGCAAAGGAAATGGAATGTAAGGTCTAAACATAACACAGTTGATAAGTAACTTGCTTAAGTGAATACATTAATATTATCCAGAATTTTCTATCAGGTAAACATATCTGAACTACATGAAAATATGAACCCTTAGCAGAGAAAACAGAAACTACGATGTAATAATCAGGAAGCAATTTTAGAACTGAAAAGACACAATTTCTGACAAGAAATCTCCAGATC